CAAAAGCAGTTCTAAGAGGGAAGTTCACAGCAGTAAATGCTTATCTCAAGAAACCAAAATCTTAGAAAACAACCTAACTGTACACCTCAAAGAACTAAAAAAGAACAAAGCCCAAAGTTACAAGTTAGGAAATAAGGATCAGAGAAAAAAATCAACCAAAAAGAGACTAAATAGACAGTAACAGAAAAGACCAATGAAACTAGAGCTGGCTCTTTGCAAAGGCAAAATTGATAAATCTTTAGCTAGACTCACCAAGCCAAACGGGGCTCAAATAAAAATAAGAAATGAAAGAGGAGACGTTACAACTGATAACATATGTATTCAAAGGATAAGAGACTATATACAATTTATGCCAAGAAATTTGACAACTTAGAAGTAGATAAATTCTTAGAAAATATAACCTTCTAAGACTGAATCATGAAGGAATAGAAAATCTGAACAAATTACTCATCAGGAGATTGAACCAGTAATCAAAAACCTACCAACAAAATCCCAAGACCAGATGGTTTCAATGGTGAATTCTACCAAATATTCGAAGAATTAATACTAATCCTTTTCAAACTCTTCCAAAAACTAATAGAGGTCACATTTTGAAACTCATTTTTACAAGGCCACCATTAGCTGATAGCCCAAACTGGACAAGGGCACAACTGCGGAAAATCACATGTCAACATCCTTGACGAACAGAGATGCAAATACCTCAACAAAATCTTAGTAAACAGAATTCAACATACACTAAAAGCATCATATACCTTCAGTAGGGTTTATTCAGGGATGCAAGGACAGTTCAACATCTACAAGTCAACATGATATACCCTATCAACAAAATGAATAATAAAAATCATACGATCATCTCAACAGATGTAGAAATAGCATTTAACAAAATCCACCATCTATTTATGATTAAAACTCTCAACAAAAGTGGGTATAGAGTGAATATATCTCAACATAATTAAGGCCATATATGACAAGCCCACAGCTAACTTCAAACTCAATGGTGAAAAGCTGAAAGCTTTTTCTCTAAGATCAGGAACAAGACTAGGACCTCCCACCCCAGACTCACCAACATACTATTGTTATCCTAGCCACTCACTAGGCAAGAAGAAATAAAAGGCATCCAAATTGGAAAAGAGGTCAACTGTCACTGCTTGCAGATGGCATGATATATATAAAAAAAACCCTAAAGATTCCATCAAAAACTGTTAGATTAATAAACCAATTCAGTAAAGCTGCAGAACACAGGATGACTATACAAAAGTCTTGTACATTTCTATATGCTAACAACAAAGTATCCAAAAAAGAAAAATCACTTATAATTGTATGAAAATGAATATATACCTAAGAATAAATTTAACCGAGTGGGTAAAAGACTTGTAATTGATAATTATAGAACATTCCATTTCAAAGCCTTTGGTAAAAAAAAACACAAGGCCAGTGGTTCACTCAGTGTGATTCCCCAGACAAGCAGCATCAGCAACACCTGGGAACTTGGTGGAAATGCACATTCTTGGGCCCCCTCATAGACCTACTAAGGCAGAAACTCTGGGGGGTGGAGCCCAGCAATCTGTTTTAACAGCCGTCCAGGGGATTCTGAGGCAGGCTAAAGCTCGAGAACCATTGCATAATTCATTTATGCAACTTACTTGTTGCTTAAATCATCCTCAGCCTTTAGAGGTCTAGAATAGCCCCCATATATACAACCTGAATGATTTAAGAAATCAGATTTTTCTGTTCTCCAAATTTAAACAATGTAAAGTCATATCAATATCTTACATATGTAGACCTTCAATGGAATACTACGCGGCCATTTAAAGACATAACAAAACCAACAAAAAACAAAACAAAACCCATGTAGTCTAGCCCCTCTTTGGCACAAAATGGAAGGATCTAGGTCGTAATCTGCTCATCATGAACATCAGAGGGAGAAAGCAAATGTACATGATTTGCATGGTAAAAGGAGCTGAAGAAACTCAGGAAGAGAAAATAAATGAAAGTTTTCATGAACAAAGCAAACCATCCAAAAAAGACCTCAGATAGAAAATGAACCGAACTGTTTTGGAAGCACTTTGCCCTGTCCTCCTCCCAGCAAGTCCAGCCCAAGTCCTATGCTGAAGTTCAATCATTGAGTGCATCACCATGTGACTTTTTGCTAGAGTTGGGGCGGTTAAATCTGATTAGACTGAATGGATGCCTGTCCTCTGGAGCCCTAATACCATCAGAATTGTGCCATGCCGTTAACAGAAGGAGGTTAGGAACAGGGGATACTGCCATTGGGTTCCTGTTTACTCCATAAAGGCAGATTCCTGCAGACCAAATAAACCCATCTATTTGTTGATCGGGGAAAAAAAAAGTCCTATCAAGCTTTTATAAAAAGATTCCCTAGCTGTATATGCAATGAGAAAGTCCTTTAGTAAATTCTGCAACAGGTTTTTTTAAAAAAATCATTGACATAGATTATGAGGAGGTAGTTCTAATAAATAAGCAATAGCTTCATGAAACCTACTTTGAGGATGTTCATTAAAATTTCAGATGTCAACATGATCCTCTCAAGTTCTGTGATCTTCAAATTGAAGTGTTGGTATTTGTAAATATACCTTTAATTGTAAATATACTCACCCCTGGAAATAGTAAAGCTGTTTCAATTTAGAGTCATTTACTCTACCTACTTAGCACCAGCATGGTACCAGGCACTGTACTAGGTAGCAAATGTTGAAAAGATCTGGTACGGACCTCAGGAGGGTTACACACCCTAGGCAGGTACTAGATGCAAATGCAGTAGGACAAACAACAAACCAAAGCTTTTGAGTGTTCCCAGCCCTCTCCTTCCTTCAGTCAACTCCCATCCAAGTACTAACCAGGCCCGACCCTGTCTAGCTTCTGAGAACAGACAAGATTGGGCGCATTCAGGGTGGTATGGCCATAGACCCTTCAGTCAACTAAAGAGAATTCAGGCATAATAATTCTTCCATCCCTGGCCTTCTGAGTTTTTGACCTTGGTGTGGATGGGGTAGACTCTTTTAGGGTGGAGAGAGGTCAAAAGGCAGATGGAAAATAGGGAAATTAGAAAAAGAAATTGTGTCAATCTAACATCACTTGCTAAGGACGTTTCTATCATAAAATCTCTCAAGGAATTTCTGTGAATCTCTGAAAAATCTGTGACAGGATTCACGAAGTTCTATTTCACTTTCTTCTGCCTGGGTATAGAAAGACTACATTTCCCAGCCTCCCTTGACTTTTGATCACGATCATGTGCTGAGTTCTGGCCAGTCAACTGGGAGAGAGCAATTTTATGCTTCTGATATGAAGCATAAAAAAGTAGCATGGTCTTTTTTTACTCTCTTCCCCTTTTGCAGAAACTTTGAAGTCCTGTATTCTGGATGTTGATGTTACAAGATAGTGGAGCCTCCATCAGCTTGGGACCCTGAGAGACTACTGAACAGAGATCTACCCCATCCCCTTGCAGTGTATGACAGAAAAAGATATGTGAGAAATGCAGATTTTCAGGAGCTTTGCTTCAACCTAATTATCCTTTTCACAGTGGTCCAGAGATACAAGTAAAAATTTGGATTGCTTTGAAATTACCTCTTGGCTGTTGAGTTCTGCTCCTTTAATGCCCCATTACTCAGAGTCTGGACACCATGGTTCTGGCTTTGTAAGTGTTACCAAAATAAAATATAGTTGTTAAAATAGGGCTATGGACAAGTGCCCTGGAAGCCTGGAGGAAAAAGATGCCAAGCCTGGAAAGGCTAAGTTGGATGCCTGCCCTCTTAATAACACCAAGGATTGCTCAAGACCTTTTTGCACTCTCCACTACCCATCCCACTCCTACCAAGGAAAAAAAAAACAGAACAAAGATAAAGCGAGAACATTTGGTTGGAGGGGGAAAAGAACACTGTCAATTACCCACTGCATCATATTTGGACAAGCAGCAACATTCCAGTTAGCATGGTTATAATACTCCCAGGATAAAAGTAATTAACTGTTGAAGGTTTCCTGGAATCAAGACTGAATAGAGAGGAATCCAGGAACCTCATCAGAGAAAAAGGACATTTATAGGTGATAACATTTAAGGACAGAAATTTCCCCTACCTGAGCTGCAGAGCTAGGGCTGGAGGCATGATCTTTGCCCCTATCCTGCCGATGAGGGTCGGGAACACACCTACCAGCTCCACTACGGTGATGTGTCGAAGATCCAGACCACACTGGGCTTGCTGGAAAAAACACAAAAACAATAGAGGAAGTGTGAGTGTGGCTGAAGAAAGAATTCCATGTCAAACTGCAAACTCACAGGAGCGGCACTGTTCTGTTTTGAGAACTTCATTTGCCAACTCCAAACTGTCCTGAAGACAGTTGAGAAATTGGGGTTAAACAAGTAGCTATAAAACCTAAATACCTTCCTAGAGGAATCATTCAGAAATGGCTTGGCAATGAGATTTTGAAAACCTAAGCAAAATGGCAGTGTATGTATTTCCAGATGGGGTGAGACTTTGCATGAGCCAAATTTCCAAAAAAAAAAAAGTCCAAGACCACCCCTAGAGGATTCTAATTTTGTCTTTGCAAGGAGGAAGGAATATTTCAGTGTCCCCTCTGCCCGTGCTTCCACCCATCACATCGCCTGCCCTAAGCCCCCCAACACATGAACATACTGAAGAAACAGGGATAAAAGGTTTCAACTCTGATCTGATACCTTGGTTTTTTACATCTGGTGACCTGATTTGGGTGGTTGCCACCCAGGGACACCCCTTGATGGCCTGGCTCTGGTGGCCAGAGAGGTCAGCATTCCTGGGTCCCATGTGACAGTTCTTGGTGGGCTACCCCGTCCAGGGCATTGCACAGACAGCAGACCGAAACATACCCCCATTTCTGTGAAAGAGGCCTCATATTTTTGTCCTGGGTCTTCAACCCTAAGAGCGGGCGTCAGGTTTGGCGCACACCTAGAGGCCCACAGGGAGGCTCTCAGAGCCTGTAGGCCAGGGACGCCATCTTTGCACTTTCCCTGTGGAGAGTTCCCTGGCTATGCCCAGACAGGGGAGTTGATACACAGCCCCACCTACTGCAGATTGAGGCTCCTAGCTCTTCCAGACCAGAAAGCCTGTTTGGGAAACAGAGTTGCCTGCAGTGCCCCCTCTCCCACTGCCCCACCCAGGCAGGAGCCCACATCATAGCTCTACCTGCTGTGGAGTGTGGCCCCCACCTGGCAGGAAGGGTTAGTCACAGCACCTGGGAGCAGCGTGACCTAGCGACTCCTAGGCTGAGAGGTGGGTGGCCCGAGTTAGTGGCTGTCAGAGCCAAGCCAGTGGCCCTGTTCAGCCAGGGAACCTGAGGCCTAAGTCGGCTTGATTCAAGGCCACAAACAGCATTGGTGGCAACTGAGCTGCTTCTCCTGCTACGCCCAGGAAGGGAAATGCATTCCCGTGTTACTGAGCACAGCCTTCAGGCCGCCTGACCCAGGATCCCAACCAACACACACAGGCAGCCGTGCCGCCCATCCAACAGCCCTGCTTACAGTGGCACTTGAACAGAGAGCACAGCCCGTCGCTTTGTCTGCAGACCAAAACTGGTGTGGCCTCACCTAACCAAAATATTCAGTGCACACTCTTGCCTGATCTGGGTCCCCAGACAATGAACCATGCAGGCCCTGGGTCCCATCCTGCTGCCTTGCCAGGATAGGGAAGCTAATTCATAGTCCCACCTGCTGCTGGGTATAATACCCAGCCCCAAGCATCTAGGAAGCCTGGCCAGAATCCAGGCAATCATGAAACCCATCCTACAGCCTCACTGGGGCAGGGAACCAAGATAGCAGTCCCATCCAGCTGTTCTCAGCCAGCGGTACACCCCCAACCTCAGAGTTCAAACAAATGCCTTGCCTCAACAGACCCTTACAGCAGGGCCCACCTGCCCAAGGATGTGGCCAGAAACCTCAACAGAGCTAGAGCTGTCTCTGCCAAAGTGAACCTCAAAAGCCTGCAAAAGGAGATCACGTACTCAAATGAATACATACTGGTGTAAAGATTCAGGGATCATGAAAAAGCAAAGCTGTGTGATACCAAAGTACAGTAATAAAGGTCCAATAACTGACCCTAAGGAAACGGAGAGCTATGAACTGTCAGTTCAGATTAATCCTCTTGAAGAGGTTTAATGACCTGCAAGAACGGATAACTAAATGAAATTAGGTAAAACATGAACCAAGTAAGTTTGACAAAGAAATATAAACCATGAAAAAAAATCAGAGCGGAAGAGTAGAATAACTGAACTGAAGAATTTCCATGGAGAGCATCAAAAGCTGACTCACCCATGCAGAAGGGTCAGAGACCTGGAAGAAAGGACATTTCTAATTATCTGGTCAGAGGAACACAAAGGAAAAATAATGAAAAAGATGGAAGAGAGCCAAAGGGATTTATGGGACACAACAAAAATACTTGCATTTTGGGAATTGAAAAGGGAAAAAGTGTATTTAAGTCAGTAATGGCTGATAACTTCCCAAACCTAAGGAAAGAATTAAGACATCCAGATCCCAAAGGACCCAGATATGTTGAACTCAGATAGGGCTACATCATGAAATACTGTAAGTAAATCGTTAAAAGTCAAACACAAAGATTTTTTAAAGCAGCAAGAGAAAACAGAAGTTACATACAAGGGAACCTCCCTAAGACTATCAGTGGATTTCTCAGTAAGACTTTTCAGACCATAAGAGAATAGTATGATATATTCAAAATCTTGGATGGGAAAGAAACTGTCAACCACAAACTACTCAGTGAAGCTCCGCTTCAGAAATGAAAGAGGAAAAACTAAAAATAGAGTTACCATATGATCCAGCAATCCCACTCCTGGGCATATATCCAGAAAGAACTCTAATTTGAAAAGAT